CGGGAGGTTTGCGGCCGCAGCTCGGCTTTTGGAGGAGGTTGGCGGGAGGGAGGCGCTGGGGCTGCCAGCTTGGCCGCCCGCCCCCCAAGGGCTTCTCGGGCTAACGGTTTCCTCTTCCCGACTCTCGGCAGCGACCAGAGGCGACAGCAGGAGCAATGGAGATGCAGTCGTACTACACCAAGCTTTTGGGAGAGCTCAATGAGCAGCGGAAGAGGGACTTTTTCTGTGACTGCAGTATTATTGTGGAGGGGAGGATCTTCAAAGCGCACAAAAACATTTTATTTGCAAACAGTGGCTATTTCAGAGCCTTACTGATTCATTACATTCAAGACAGCGGACGACACAGCACTGCTTCTTTGGACATTGTTACGTCAGAGGCCTTCTCCATCATCCTAGATTTCCTTTATTCAGGGAAGCTGGATCTCTGTGGGGAGAATGTTATTGAGGTCATGTCTGCAGCTAGCTATTTGCAGATGACTGATGTGGTCAACTTCTGCAAAACGTATATAAGGTCATCATTAGATATCTGTAGGAAAATAGAGAGAGAAGCTGCTTTCTATCAGGCTGATAGCGGGAGTGCTAGTTCTGCAAGGGAGGGCACCTCTTACAGTGCAAAGAGCCAGTGCTCTGCCTCTCTCCCTTCTCTGCAAGAAAAGGAAAGGATTTCAGATTGTCAGAGAGATCCGCCCTGTGGTGAATGCAGCAGCTGTCATCCCTTGGAGCTGGTGGTGAGAGACCCCGTAAGCAGTGACTCTCCAGATGACGTTAACTCTTCACTGCCCAAGGGGGTAGAACCCAAAGTAGAGTTTGACGCTGATGAAGTAGAGGTAGAAGTGGGGGAACGGCTGCAGCAGTACCCGACTCCGTTGTCCCTCGAGCAGGTGGAAGAGGGGCTGCACAGTGGGCAGGCGATGGACCTGGCCTGCAATAACTATCACATGAAACAATTCCTAGAGGTCCTATTGCGCAACAGCACAGCTCAGAGAAAGGACGATGTGGTTCACCACTTTGTGCGGGGCTTTGAGGGTAGGCCAGAGGATGCAGGGGTAGCCATGAGTTCCATGATGGACATTCACAGCGACTGGTATGGTGAGGATACAGGTGAGAGGACTCCTGAGGGTGTAGCGCTTTTGTGTAATTGATGAGGAACCTGCTTAGTTGTGCAACTCCCTTTGTTAATTGAACAATTACTCTCATTCTTGTTCAGGAATATATTGCTGAATTTTATGCCATAGCAAAATAAACTATTGTTGTGGACTTCAAAAGAAAGCTGTACTCATTTATTCAGTGCAGCATTTGGAAGGTAAGTATTTCTGATAGTTTTTACAATTTTTTTTGAAGCAGATCCTGGAGATTGATGTTGGTGACCCTGCTTTAATAAACGATCTCACTTGGGACCTTGTTGGACTGGCAGGTGGACTGTTAAAAGACAATCTTCATCTCATAATTTTAGTGGCATAAAGAGCAACCAGAAAAATAAGTTGGGCTGTGCCCGAGAGGGATGTACTATAGCAACTGACACACTAGAAGTAGCTTTTTCCACTGGAGCTCCTGACAGCTGATCAGTTGCTGCATGGTAGTTTGCTGATGCTTAATTTGAACTTCAGAAAGGCAGTTTTATTCAATACTAAGTAGTACCTAGAATGTCTTTAATGCCTAAATGACTAAAGCACTGAAAGCTTTAAATTCTGCATGGTATTGCATAAAGACTTAACTTTTTCCTGTAGAGGCAGACTCCTTTTTTGGCTGCTGGTCATCTGGGCGGCTGCTGGTCATCTGGGCTTCTGCTGTCTTGCTGTTTTCACTAGCCCAGTGTGTGTTGGGATGTCTTAGCAGTGGCAGGAATGTTGCACAGCAGCAATGTAAGGGACCTGCAGAAGTTCATGTCCATGTATATGTCTCCTGAAACGGACACTGAGGATTTGGGCATTTTAGCTGCTTAGAGTAATACTGGAGCACCACTTACCTTGTCTTAGGAGGGAGGGAGGCTGCTCTGGCATACAGCGCAAGTGTCATAGACTTTCAGGATGTAACAAGTTAAATTGAGGTGTGGGCAGCACAAAGGAAATCTTTCATAGATCTAGATAGCAAGCTTACGTTCATGTCGTTTCCAGCTCAAGCATGCATGTGTGATCTTAAAGCCAATAAAAGCAATATATCCTCTCACTGTTTTAAAATAACAAATCTGATAAAGTCATTAATCCAGTCTCACAGCTTCACCAAAAGGCTAGAGTTATCAGAACAGAGTACTTTCACCAGATCATGCCTACAGCTTTTAAGTGTTGTAGCAAGGCAGGAGTATCTGACGTACAAACTGTACTTACTGTTTTCCTCTTAAAATCTTCAGATGGTTAGCGTAGCATTAAAGGTGAGATGGGTCTAAAATTTGAGAGAACACGAGGCGTTATGACAGCCTATTAGAAGTGTTAAAGCTGGAAGTGCTTTAAATAGGAAACAAACCCCTTCCATTCTGTTAATGTTTCTCTGCTAAAAGTGAACCTCATAAGCATATAGTAGAACGGGAATCTCTCTTCACTGCTGGTAGCGTTCCTGGTATCTTCAGCATTTTCATAAGAAGCAACCATGAAGGCAGGTCCTGTTAAACAAAAGAATGACTCATACGCTCAAGCTTTTTGAATGCAAGACAGATGAGGTAAATACCATTTAACTTCAAGCATCCGCATCTGTTCTAGACATCCTGGTCTCCTTCCTAGCTGGTGGAGGGAAAACGGGCACCTCTAGCGAGTGGTGGCTCTCATCCTGAGGCAGACACTGGAAACCTTGTAGAGGTCTAGAATTGGGCCCGCTGAATTTCCCCTGAAGGCTACATGTCAGTACTGAACACTCACCTTTTTTGAGACTGAGATGGACAAAGCTTAATTCAAAGAATGCTCTAAAGCTCCATCATCTTTGATTGAGCTCCTATTAAGGAGCTCATGGCTCAGTATGCAAATACCTTCCTCAATCAGTACTTGGAAACGTTAGGGAAAGCTAATCTTTTAATGTAGCACCTTTATGCTACGAAGGAAGCTCAATGTGTGGGTTGCTACTGAAAAACTTCACAATACTCATGTTTACGTAAAATAAAATCTTCAAATTAAATTATCAATTTGTGCATCTGACTTCATAAATTATATATTTATTGTGTGTATATAGTCTGATTCTAGGAAAAATAAAACAAAACTAGCAAATATATTGGAATCCTTCATCTGTTATTTCCAATAGAAAGGCTAAAGCGAACGAGAATAGAAAAAAAATCTTCATCTTCTTAAATGGGTTTCCCACACCTAAATTAATGCCCGTTGTAAGAGCATATGGGAAGCATTGCGCTACTTCTGCCTGTGGTTTATGTTAAAGAGTCTAATATCTAAGGCTGTTTAATGCTAATAGCATCTTAAAAAAAAAGAAGAAGAAGAAAATAGGAGAAGAAAATACAACAATACCACTGTTGTATTTTTTCTGTGGCTGGGATAGTCCCAGAGGCCCCACTGCTCTAAACATAGATTTTTGGTGCTTAATTAAATGGTATTTTTAAATAAAATTAATTTGTCTTTCCGTTGTGAGCCAAGTCACTCAGAACTGTGATCCATAGAAGTATAGTCAACCCGATTTTCAAGGGACTTGATCATCTGCAGCTGCATTAATGTTTTCTGAAATTGCACAACCTACAGAAATTCCAGGTAAGCCAAATACAAAAAGAGGGGAAAGTACAGTTACCTTGATTCAGATTTGCAATAAGGAGGGTAAAAAGCCAACAGAGCTAACATTGCTGAACTGCCTAATCTAATGTACTGTTCTTTTTTCAAAAGGTGATGTGTTAGTTGTGCCAATCAAGCTTCACAAATGTCCATTCTGTCCCTACAC